ACAGTATATGTATATATATATATATATATATCAAATTATGTATTAATATTTTTATATAACTAATAATATCAATCAAAAAACTAACAATAATATTAATTTTAGGTGTTGTATTATGTGAAAACAAACTTGGAAATGCATTGAGTATCTAATTGTTGAAGAGATTGAACTTATCTTTAAGTTTTATATACAGCTTAAAATAATGTATAAAGTGTTTAGAAATACTCTTTGGCATTCTTAAATAACTATCTTAAATATATGCTTTCAAATTTGCAAAACTTGTTATTCAAAGAATTAAATTTGTAAAACTTTTTATTCTTACAATTATCTTAAATATGTGCTATAAAACTTTTAAAAAATCCTAGTTATATCTTATCAAATTCTAATGAATTTTTAAATAATTCCTAATAAATATTCAACAGACTTCAATCAAATTCTTATAAAATTATAAACAAACTTTAATCAAATATTAACCATATTCTAATTAAACCTTAGAGAAATCCTATATTTTTAATTCTAATCAATTCTAAATCCTAAAATAGTCCTAATTAATATTTTAAAATATGTTAAATACACCTTGAATCCTAAAACTTAGTCAAATTTAAAATCCTAACAATATTCTAATCAAATCCTTATCAAATTCTAAAGAAGAATGAAATCTTAAGAACTAATAATTGAATTGTTGATTTTAAAATTTGTGCACCTTTCAATGTACTTGTTAAAAACAATCACAATAATTGAAAGACGATCAAATATACCAAATAGAAGATAATTCTCATATCTTGCTCAGATGTCACTTTGTTTCTTTCTCTAACCTTAATGTCAATTTCATAGCACCAATGTTTCTTGATTCCATTATTCAATTGCTCTCAAAATTTGTCCAACCATACAAAATCTAGTTTGATATTAATGTGCAAAATCTTATCTCAATAAAATTGACCAATTTCTGCAAATCTTAGAAACCCTCACTAGTAATCCAAACTCTAATTTTTCTTATGAATTAATTAAAATAAAAATAAATTTATAATTTATAATAAGTTCTAAGGTCTTTTTAATATTTTTAAAGATCCAAAAACATCAGTATTTATTTCAAGTGTATCAAATATAACTTTATTGTGTTTTATTTATACTAATATCTTTTAGTATAAAAATTCTATAAAATTTCAAATTTCTACTAATAATATGTGTACTAAGATCTCATATTCTATATCCTTTTATGCATTTTATATAATATATGAATATAAAATTTTTAAACTTAGGAACCACATTGGTACTTTTAATATTATAAATAAATATAAATTAGGCATCCAAAAATTCTACATCTTATATAATTTTTACATCTATTATTTAACATCTCCTTAGATGTCTTATATTTTATAATAATAGATAAAAATATATTTATGAAAATATTAGTAATGTTAATGATTTGATTTTTTAAAAAAATATAATATAAAAAATAAAATAATAATAAAAATAATTCCAACATTTTAAACTTTAGAGTCTTTTTTATTTTATTATCCAAAGGACTTCTTGTAGTAGCTATAATGGACACCATATTATTTAGGACATATTGCAAAGATAATATCTTCTTTAAGAAGCTTTAAATATTATTTTTTATATATGGATTAGATATTTAGACTTTCATAAATATGCAATATAGTTATTGAAACTTGTGCCATAAGTTTCTTACTTTTAAAACTCTTATTAAAAGCAATATATAACTTGATGCTTTAACCACAAGCCTTGCAATTCCTAAAAAGCTTGCACAAGATCTTTATAGCTAGAAAATAGAGGTAAGACTAAGGCTATCTTTAATCTTTGTCAATACCTATTTTATATTCTAGTTATAATATAAGACTTTCTACTCTCTTTTTATTTTGGAGTAGTTATTTTTATTTTTATAACTATATCTTATTTTTTGATTTTTTTCTTCTTTGATAATATAGTAGTATATTGTTTTCTCAAGGTTTTGTTGTGATTCTTGTTCTTGATAATAATAAGATAATATAAATTTATTTTCTAATTTCATTTACAACTTTGGTATTGAACTCTCATTTATAATATTATACAATACTTGATTGGCAAAACTAAAATAAATTGTATTTACTACTCTTATGCTAATTTCTTCATATTTTTTTCTCTTGTCTAAGAGTGACTTTACTAAAAAATTGTACCATATTTTTTGTACAGAAAAATCTACAATTTTTAACTATTAAAAATTAGATTTTATTTTGGTTATTTTAGAAAAACCATTACTTTAGCAAAAAATAATACTTAAGTAATGTTTTTGTGTTAAATTTTTGTAAGAGCAACTTTATTTAAATATTGAGCAAGCCTAAAATACTACAAATATTGATTTAAGAAAAATACAAGATATTTTTGTAATAATTTAAAACTTTAAATTTTTATATTAAAATTTTTAAATAAAATTATAAAAGTAGAATATATTTTATAAATAAAAGTGTATATATTAACCACTTGTTTTCTAAATTTGACAAATGTTGCATATAGTGGCTATTTGTACAAACTGGCTATGTGGTGTATATATAGGAAACTTGTCTTACAAGTTAGACACATATCCTGCAAGTTGAATACATGTCAGATGACCTAAAGAATATTGCTACATAGCTTCTTAATTACTTAGTGTATATAAAGGCAAGAATGAGGTCATTTTTACTCTTGTCTATGTTTTTCTTATGTTTTTGTCTTAACTAAAGAAACTCTACTCTCTTTGTATATAGCAAACATTATTTTAGTTTCTATCTTATATCTATCTTAAATTTGTCTATTTTTTCTATTTGAGTATTATAAGAATATATTTCTTTTTAAAAGATTTATTTTATGATTTATATCTTTAATATAACACAAAGTATTATAATTTAAAATAAATTATATTTTTGAATACAATATAAGGACATTTTAACATAGCTGCAAAAAAAGATAATAGAATTTTTTTTAAATCCTTTAAATAGATTTAGACCAAAATATTTTGCATGGTATTGTAAAAATTAATGCAATTTTTGAAAAAAATACATTTTTTAATGTAATAATAGAAATCATTTAATTCAAGGCAAATAAACCTTTAAAAATCAATGGAAATAGACTACTTTGGCTTTCTACTTTAACTACAAATATTTTAACTATGTATACTTGATTGAATATACTAGTCTAGCATAAGGGTAAGTTTGTTAAAGTACTAAATTACATGATTACAATAAATTGAGACCAAAATTTAGAAGTCTTAAAATAAAAATAAAAACATATATAATAAAATGGTTAGATTTTTTTAAAAAAATCTAAAATCTAAATATGAAATTTTAATATTAACATGAAATAGAATGATAATCATTAAGATACTTTCAATTATCTAAATAAACATAAAATACTACTTAAATTGTATTAATTTATTCTTTAATCTTTATTTTTATTCTAATTGATAAATAAATAAAAATCTTAATATATCATTTTTATGATTATAAATTCTAATAATTTTAATAAGTATTAACATCATTTATTACTTACATGTTAACAAAATTTATATAAGATACTTCAACTATAATTATTACTATTTATTTTGATTATAATTTACAATAAGAGATTTAAAATTAATATTATAAAAATATTAAATTCAACGCCTAATTCAATGTTGACTATTACTTGACTTTTAACATAAAGTATAATATATGACATGAATATATTATTTAGTTATATATCAATAAATTCATGACACATTAACACCAAAAATTTAATAACAAAATAAATTTTATATTAATAAAATATATCATCAAAATTAATTAAGCTAAAATATGCTTAATAATATTATAATATTTTCTATAAAATGACATAGATATATACAAATTTTAGGCATATAATATAACAATATCAATACTATAAAAAAAAGTTTTAATTTTTTACAATCAACCACATAAAATCAAAAAATATATAATGGAAAAAACTATCATTTGAAGATTTAAATAAATATATATATAGTAAGTTCTTTGAATCACTAGTAATTCCTAAATTTTGATCTTAGATGTATAAACAAAAAACATCAATGAATTTTTATTAGCAAAATTTTTTGTATAAATATAAACTCATAAAAAATTAATATTAATTTAGAAATAATTTACTAAACAGAAACCATACATATTAAGGTCTTATATACACATATTTTGATCAAACAAAGTATAAAACAAAGCCATATCAAATTTCAAGTTCAAAGTGCTTTCAAATATAAGTACATAGTATAATAACTTTAACAAAATCTATATAGCTAAAGAAGATAGAAATATAGAATATGAAAATATATATTATCAAAGTAAAAAAATAATTGTAGTTTGTTGATTTCCAATCATAAAATTATACTACATAGACATACATACATACAAACATACATACACACTTACACCAATATAAATATATATATATATATATAGGTATTTACACATGGGAATGTTAAATAGACCCAAGCTTTTACTAAATTTACCCACCTATTCTAACCATCATCAAAATAAAAAGATACCTCAAGATTCATTTCTGTAATTAGTGGATTTGAAACCAATGGAAGCCAACTATGTTCATCAAGAATTCCATACTCATCATCATGTGTAGATTGATTTCATAAAAAAGTGGGTCTATTAATAAAATCCCTCTGTGCCTGCATGTGTGTGTATATATATATAAATAAATAAATAAATAATTTGATTCGATCTTGAAACTTATAATTACGAGATAAAAAAGAATATTAATTATATTATAAATTCCAACTAGATTATGAATACTATGTAAAAGCAACGTTATAACATTCATATAACAGAAAATCTCTCTAAGCTAAGATATCTTCTAAAGTTCTAATTCCAAATCTTGCAGGCGCACGATCTGGGGGAAGAGCGGGGGGAGTAGGGGGCGGGGTGAGTGGTGCGGTTCGCGGGGCGGCATTGGTTGGTTGGTTGATTGGTTGTAGCGGTGGTGGTGGCGAAGGGAGGGAGGGAGAGAGGGGGAGAGGGATGGGTTGCGTGTGGAAGTGTGGATGTGGGGTTTGGAGCGATGTTGAGTGGTGGGATGGAGAGCTTGCGAGATCCGTGAATGGCGTAGCGCGCGAGGACGCGTGGTGATGTGTGGATCAGCTGGGGTGTGAGCGTGTGCGATGGGGGTGGCATAGGTTGGAGGCTGCGATTTTCTTACGGGACGTTGTGTTGGTGTTGGTGTTGTTGTTGTGTGGCGGAGCAGATTGGAGTAGAGAGGCGGAGACAATGGTGCGTGGTGGAAGCAGCGGAGGAGGGCAGAGCTCCCTCGGGTACCTGTTCGGATCCGATGCCGGCCCTCCCAAGGCCGTAGCGAAGGCGCCCGCCCCGGAGCCCCAGGCTCCAGTGGAGCAGCGACCGGCCGGGTTGGCGAGGAGCAATGTCCCAGAGGAGAAGGCCGCGCCCGTGGGTAAAGCGGACGACGCGGGTGACAAGGGCGCTCCCAAGCTGGGCCGGAACTCGAACAACTACCACCGCGCCGACGGGCAGAATACCGGCAACTTCATCACTGTGAGTGTTCCTCAACTCGGACACCCATTTGTCCAAGTGTATCTCGTTGCGAAATCATGGTCTGGTGTGGCGTTCTTTCGGGGCTGCGATTGTTGAGTGTAGTTCTCGTTGGGTTGGGAGAGTGCAATCGTCGCCAGGACTTGCTGCTGTGTTTTATCGCCCCAGGCAGAGGAACCGCGCTGCACGCGAACTGCGACGGTTTCCTCTTCCCCAGTGGTGGTGCCTCGCACCCTGTGTGTCGAGCGTGACCTGCATTCAGTCGCGATCGTGATGCCGACACATGGTGTGGTGCTAACTTTGTGTGGTGGTAGTCTTCCGTGTTTGTGAGGTGTCTGACGTGATGTAAGCTCCCAGTCTCATCTCTTGACCGAAGCAGGTGCATATCAGAATTGTGCTCTGATGTGCTATTGCTTTATTGTCGCGAGATTTGCTGACGAAGGATAGTTAGCCTTGGTTGCGAAGCGCGTGTATGTCGGCTTTGTGCGTGCGTGATTGTCAGTGCACCAGTGTTTTGTTGATGCCGCATGCTGACACGTGACTCTGTGTTTCTGTCTGCAGGACCGACCTTCGACCAAGGTTCATGCTGCTCCCGGTGGAGGGTCATCTTTGGGTTACCTGTTCGGCGGCAATTGAGTCCAGGTCGCGCAGTTTGATGCTGACATCACCGATATTCTAGACCGTGCCTGCACGATCTGATGAAGTTCATCTTGCAGATGACCATCACCGCCAGCTCGCATGGTGTTGTTAGGCTAGAATTTGCTTGGATTAACTTGTGCACAGTGTCAGCATTGTGACAGCGGGGATGTGGGAGCGTTTGTGTGGAACGCTTTTCAGTTCTCTGGTCAAAATAAGGCTGGCGTTTGTGTCTTTGTAGCAGAGGATAGGTTCACGTCAAGAACTTCTGAGCCCTCTCCCCTGCCCCTCGGCTGCAGAGATATTGGGAGCTCTTACGAGCTTCCGTTTTGATTGATGGTCTGTTCACGCATTAGTAGTTGGGGTTTCAACCATTGTCGACAGCTAGTTCAGCAGTAAAAGCTGATTGTTATCGTATGAATTGCGAGTCTGTGAAGCGGTTCTAGCAGTTCTGCTCTCCCTCAGGAGCAAGGTCATCGTGTGCTCCATTGCATCGAGCAGGCTTGATGATTCTTCTGTGTACTCGGTGGTTCCGTTACGATTCTTCTCCAGGAGAAGCGTAGCAGGACTTTGCCCATTTTATTCTCACGGCTATGACCGCATTTACATACTGCAAATGTGTCAGAGGTTGCAACCAATGCTGCCCGCTCCAATGCGGCTTGGACGCAGTGGTGGTACTTGGAAGCCCTTGCTGCCAAGAAGGGAATGGCGGTGGAGGTCCTGGTCCCCGGTCGCTGTTCCGGGTGAACGCTACGTGTGTTTGTGATGTTACTTGTGAGCGAAGATATTCGCAATGACATGCGGTGCAGTAGGTGTATGCACTTTGAAACCCCACCAATGTTCTGCACTGCATGTGAGAATTGGGAAGCGGGTAATCTCAGCGGTGACGTGTCCGAAATTCTGAGAGCCCGGTGCCGGCAGACCTGGTTGGCCTGAAGCAGTAGTCACTTGCAGGCAGATCGATTGTCTCACGCGCCGTACGAATTAACGAATTTGTCTTGACAATCGAGTGTCAGGGTGGAAATGGAAAAGGGGCTAAGTGGTAAAGCAATCTCTGTTTCGGAGGGTGGAGTGTGTCGATCGTGAGTAGGAAGGCTTCAATACGCCAACCGTGAGGTGTGGAGTGACCTGAGCACATTGACGCGATCACTGGTAGCAACGAAGTAGACGCTACTTCGGTAGTTTGTCTATAGGGTTTTCGAACCACTGGTAGCAGCGTGAACGCTGTTTGGACAAGCGCCCAGTGCTGTTCCGAAATGTAGACGGCAATGTGTTCAGGGTGCCTTATTCTAGCCATTGCGATGCCGACGTCCTGAAATGAGATTCCAAACAAGGTGACGCAGCATCGAGGATCGTGTTGCTAAACGGCTAATCGTCACAGCCTATCGGCCGCGTGCGATCGGACTACGATGACGTACGTTGTAGTGCTGACTCACGGGCAAGAATTCACATCTGCGTAGTAACAGCTTGCATTGAAAGCTGTGCACAATCTCACCTCCAATGAGCCCAACGCTTTGTTTGTTGACAGGGCGCACCTTCGAATGGTAAATGTACCGCGTGGTCCCCATACATTGTGGGCGACGCATTTGTTTCGAAAGTAAGAGAAGGGAAAGAACTTTCAAGGTTGTGCATGATTTAGCTCCCGAGAGAGATCTACTGAAAGGTTTTGTACGGATTGGAAGTAGATTTACTCTCCAATAGGGGTAAAGCATGAAGGTTTCCAATTCCTCGTCACCGTGCTTCGAAAGGTGCGCCTCGAAGTTCTTAAAGTATTCCGGTTAATCCCTCTCCGTGATTGTTAAGATAACAGAGGGTTGAGAAATCTGCACTCAAACGAGACGGAGGAATCACATTTTAAAACCATTCGTGGACATCGTGGCAGATGAATGGTGCATGGCAAATACAGGCAACTGCCATGCTAGATCAGATGACCAAGCTTGAATGATCGGTGCAGTGCACAAATTTGCAAGATCAACAGGATCTGTTGTTGACGTTCATGATGGTGGCCCATCCCCTCCTCCAAGGCGCTCAACTCTAACTCTTGGATCAATGCTGCTGGTAGCGCAGTGGGTACAGTGAATGCTCGTAAAGCATTGTTCTACAGCAATCCACAGCAGACCCTCCACTAAACAAACCACAAGGTGCACAGTGACCCCAAACTTTGCGGGCGAAATGAGACTACATGCATGAGCACAATCCATGCCCTTAGCTGCTTGCAGGATGAAAGTCCACACGACAAGGAATGCACTTCACCCTTCCAAGAACAAGGTGACCTAGCAGAAACTCACTTGATCACGTATCGTAAACACAAAATTGAAGCAAAAAGAGCACATCTCCACCACTTCTGCTTGTAGCAAAGGCGTATTGCCACTGCCGAAACTGATGTGAATTCTGTCATAGGAAAGGTAAGGCGCTGAGAAAATGAACATCGATCCGCTGATGAAGACCCCAGCAGGAGGTAGCGTGGCCATACGCATAAACAGCGTTTAGACGATAACTTTGTGTTACACTATGAAACTAGAATCTTACTTCCAGGGAAACACTGCAGGTCATTGTTTGCTAGTAGATATTTTTGGATATTAAATAAGTAATAAACTTCCATAATGATTGTCAAGAAGGGTCGCTCGAGATGTTTGGCATACTGGTCTGGTTGGTGTAGTCGGTTATCACGCTAGTCTCACACACTAGAGGTCCCCAGTTCGAACCTGGGATTAGACAAATGCATTTTTGCGTCGCATCGTCTCCGTTAGATGATGGAGACCAAATTAAACTCTTCTTTTCTCCTCTCCACTTCGGTTCCAAGCTGCTCTGCTCCATGTTACCTGGCTCCTGCCCCCGCACCTTCTGATGACTCCCCTCTCTTGTCTTTGCTTATGAAAACTTTGTGATAGGGTATAGAATACGGAATGCATGACCAATGTGCTGTAGTTGTTAAATGAACTATAGTAAACTCAACTAGATACCTTTGTATTTTAGGGTCTATCAACCGTTGTCAAGATATGAGCAAATCATGTGATGGTTTTTTTACTTTCACATTTTACATTAAACAAGATGCAAGCATATATAATGTCTATTAGAAAGCAAAGTATGTGTTTCACTACCTTTTGATATTTTATTTTTAGATTTGTCATGTATTTTCTAATTAAATTTACATCATATAAGATATTTAGTCTAATACATGCCATTGCATATATAAAATTATTTGTGGCACTTATTATAGATGACTAGACATACTTTCTATAAATTAAAAACAAAAAAATAAAATATTATGTTGAAGATAATTTAAAATAAATTATAAAACAAATACTAACTAAGATTTCTTTTTCTATGTCAAAATCCATGAACATGTTTTCAATTCATTTCTATTTTGATATCTAAAGATTTATATTCCTTTCAATCTTTTATCAAAAATTATCAAGATTTGATAATATGAGTATTAATCTTATCAAATTGTCAAGGATATGAATCTAGACAAAACTCAAAAGACAATGCATTCATGTATTGTTGAAGAAACAAAAAAATAAGAAGAAAAAATGATACATATAAGATAGATAAAAATTAGAAATAATGTTATTAATTACAAAGAAACTAGAAAGGCTTAAATCAATATTAGAATATAAGAAAGGTATTGATAAGATTGATAATAGCTTCATTCTTGTCTTCATATATACTAGTTATAAAGAATGCCTTATAGAAGCTTCTTAAAGACCACAAGACTTGTTGTACAAGTGTCAATTTGTAGGTTGCTTCTGATTTGGCTTTCTAAAAGTAAAAAACTTATGGAATAAGTTTGAATAGCCACATAAAGTTTTTATAAGAATCTAAAGATTTAATCTATGTTTGATTAACTTTCTCAATATTTCTCAAAAAAGATATCATCTATCTACATGTTTCACTATCACAAATATACATATTTATCTAAATTAAATGAATTAAATAGAAATAAATAGAAATAAATAGAAGTAAATAAATTAGATAATATATTGTGAAAAAGCTTTTTAAAGCTTTATAGATACAAATTCGACTTTTTACATATTTGTAGGTGATTAGTAGATTGAAAACTTGGCCAAGTTGGCCACATGTTGCATACATATTGATGACTTGTGGTACAAGTTGGCCATATGATGCATATATAAGAAACTTATTTTTCAAGTTAGACATGTATTGGAGGTCTTATAGAATGTTGCCACATAGCTTCTAGTTTGATAGTATATATGGAGGCAAGAAGAAGGCCTTCTTCACCTTCAACAATACATTTTTTGTTCTTATTCTTGTTTTAAGAGTCTTTAGTCTTTTTATCTTTAACAATGGTTATTTTAGTTTTAATATTATACCATCTTTGAGTGAATATCTACTCTCTTCAAGTGACACAAGAATGTATTGATCATTTGGTTCTTTGTGATTCATATCCTTGAAAATTTGATAAGAGTGTTAATTTACTATTCTTAATTTGTTTTAAAAGTAAGTATATCACTCCATTTTTTTGTTGTATTTTAAGAAACTTACTTAGTGATAAAAATTAAAAATATTAAAAATTTATATGAACTTTTAGAAGACATTTGTACAAGTAAATTTTTATTATATCTAATAAATATTTAAATTCAATATATATGATTTTATTGTAATAAGCTTAATGCCTCATAAGTTATTTGGCAAATGCAAGATTTTGAATTAAATTTTTTGGTTGTTGTTTTTTTTCTTTGTTTGGCACCACAAATATACAATAATCACAAATAAAGATAAAAGAGACATTGCAATTTATACTAAATCTTGTTTTTTTAATTGAAAGGACTTGCTTGATTCTTTATTTTGGTTTTCATGGATGTTATATTTTAAAAAATAAAAACAGATGTACAACTAATATAAATATTTATAAGATTTTATATACTTTTTGATTGAAAAGACTACAACTGGCATTTTTGAGTCTATAGTAAGATTATTAAGATATTTTTCAGAAAGTAAACACAAATATTGTTCTAAATATTTGTTTATGTGATTATTAAATTGTTCCTCAAGAAAGAGCTTTTTTGCAATTTGAACAATATTGTTTACTATTATTTTGAGAATATTCTAGTCTAATTTAAGAGTTAAAAAGAAAATAAACTTTATGTTTGTTGTGTCAAGAAAAATTCTTAGGATGTATTATTTTTAATAATTTGTTGATAATTTATTTTGAATAGGTTCAAATTATTATAGATTGAAATTGTTTCAAAATAGTAATGGATGTTCAATGTTTTTAGAAAATAAAAAGTTGAAGAAAGCTTGATATACACCTTTAGTATCTCAAAGAGAGATCTCCAAAACTTTGATACGAACTGGGTTCTTCGATCTGATATGATATCATCTGATAGTCCATGATATCGATATACATTATCGAAAAAGAGCCTTGCTGTGACTTCACTAGACGATGTCTTCTTGCAAGGGACAAAGTGTGCCATCTTTGTAAGCCGATCTATCACGACAAAGATGTTGTCAAATGAGTTCGATGATGGCAGGTCCGTGATGAAGTCCATGGAAACTGAAGATCATGGTCGACATGGAATCGGCAATGGCTGTAGAAGTCCATAAGGGTGATGCCAAGGATTCTTGGATCTTGAACAGATGTCGTAGG